CCCATTGTTTCCAGTGGGCAATCTGTCTTTCCTTTTAGTACATCCCCCTTTCACCACACCACAGGGTGATTTCTCTATAAATTGCTGTTCTTTCAAGCTCAAGTTTTCTTAAAAGAGAACAGGGTTGTTGTTGTTTAACTTAAAAAACGCAAACATATAGCCGGGACGAGCGGCTGTTTTGGGGAAAGCAGAGGACGGTTTAGTAGAGGCTTCTCCCGTTTCTATGGTTTTCCTGTCCAGGAAGAAGTCGAGGCAATTATTTTGACTTCCGGATCAAGGAGGTCGGAGTGTGCGCTGCTGTTGGTTCACCCTTGGAGTCGGCTGCAGAGAAAAGCGTGAGTTTGGAGGCGTTGCTTTGTTTTTTGTTTCGCCCTCGCTCATATGCACTTTTCCGTGGGAGCCCCATTTAATTTAGTGGGTCTTATATTCAGTAGTAAGCCCGGATAGGCTGGAGCTGCACTGCATTCAGCTTCCTTCATCAGCTGCTTGAGAGACGGATTCTAGCGCTTCCTAGCTTGTTATATATTCCCCCTTCCATCTGAGACTTGCCTTTATACGTTAAATATGTACTAATAAGTGAAAAAGCATTTTAGTCGGCATTAATGGTGGTGAGTAGACGAGATGGTGTTGATGGCAGGTTGATTTAATGAAAAGAGTTATGGACTGATGAAGTCAACAAGGAGGCAGCATTCTAGTTTCTGAACATCTAACCTTAGGTCTGACACTTAGTGTTTTAAAAAAGGCTGTAAATCTTAATTCTAACTTGAGTGTGCATTTTCTGCAAATAATAACTTTCCATGTTATCAGTCACCCTGTTTTGTAAGTTAGGTTCTTGGATATGAATGTTGTTGCTCTCTCTTCTGTGTTATGTTCCCTTTCATCTTGCTCTTAATGTTTTTGTTACTTAACCTCCATACTAAAACAAACACAGTGCTTTAATATGTATTATTATGTACTTTAAAACTTTCTACTGGGCTTCCTCTGTCAAAGGTGCTTGAGGCAGTTTGCAAGTAATTGAAATAATATATTAAAAAATATTGGCAGGGGGTTAAAAAACCTAATTGGGGCTACATTCTTGAATGGTTTTCTTGGGCAGTAATTTTTATTTTTTAAAAAAACCTTCCTTCTCTTTGAACAGCACCCTCAACTGAAGAGCACTGAATGAAAGTTCCATTTCTTCAGATACAAAAATTCTGAGCTAGCTGATGAATCACATCATTTTGGAAGGTCTATGAGTGAAGATGGTCCAGTTAACAAAAGCAAGGAAGCTTCAAATAATTAACTGTCTACTGCGGAGAAATGTTGTGAACAGAGGCAGTCTCCAAACCAAATATGCTTCATTTTTAGAAGTTCTGAAGTTACAGGAGAAACAGTATACAGGAATTGCCTCCCCTCTCCAAGAGCTGGCAAAATATATAGCCCCTAGTGTGGACACTTCATGTTTTCAGATTTTCAATCCTAACCATGAGGACATCAAGAGAGCAGAAGTATTTTTCATTCCATCACGCCAGCACATAATTGACTATTTCATTTCTGCTGTCCGGATGGATCATGCCCCACAGTTGTCACAGCCTGAGGTGAGGTCAAGAAAGGGGTAGTAAACCAAACCTGTAATCCTAAACCTACTTCTGGGAGGGAGCACCTTTAAAACACTTCATGGTGAGCTTTAAATCCCATTAGTTTTAAAATTAGTTTGTAAGGCTGCAGTCCCAGGACTGTTAGCTATCAAGTTCCATTGAACTCTTCAAACTTCCAAGTAAACGTATTTATACGTGGGCTGCAACATAGTTAAACTCATTAAATGCAATGCTGTCCAGTTTTCATAATTGATTCCAGCAGTATTCTGATTTTCTACCTGCAGAACTCCAGATCCTTCTCCAAAATTACCACTCTGTAGATATCGTTTTGTAGAAGCACAGAAAATATAAAAATAATAAAGAGGAGGAAGCCTTTTTATATTCTTTTCTCCTCTCTGCTTAGACCTTATGTGTATATATTTAGAGAATCCACAGGACTTCTGAAAAAATCATTTTTTTAGAAGGAACAGAGGTTTTTAAGTCTTTTAGAAACATCCTAAAACTTTACAGACCCTGAGACTTTCATCATGAGACTTCCATCCACTAAGGCGAAAGCCATTCCAGGAGAAATTCCATATTAACCGGGGGGAGGGGGGAGCAAATAGGGGAGGAAACATATGTTTATAACATTAGACATGGTGTGGAGACATGATGTGGACAGGCAGAACTCTCCTTCCCTGACTTGCATAGTACTAGAAATCATAGCCGTCCAAGGAAACTGAGGGTGGTTTGTTGTTCGTGAGTAATCTGTCAGATCAGTACATGTGAATATAACTGGAGATCCTCCCGAAAGGCTATGTATCCATTTTCTATCATTTCTAAATTCAGCCTCACCCAAGATTTGGAATAATGGGAAGGTACGGTATGTATTTCTCTAGTCTTAAGAGGCAAAAAGGAGTCTCAGTGCAGCAAAGTGCATCCTCTCTTTCAAAAGGAGAAAGAAAGGTAATTGGGAATGGATGAATTCATTTGCACTCATGCACCCCTCCCTTATTCAAAGGCAATAGCGGTTTCTCAGTTAATTAATATCTGTATTACACAAATACGCAATGGGATCTGTCCCAAGATTTAGAGGCAGCATGCCAGAACATCCATCTCATCTTTATTCCCTTCACTATGTTTTCCCTTGGAATTCAGTCAAACCGAACAGTGACCATAAGGCCTAGCTTGTTGTTTTATTTGGGCTATAAACCTCGTCAAAGAAGACTTCAGCACCCCCAGTTTCCTGCTTCTTAGGAAATATCATCCTGCACAACTGTTATCTCACTGACCCACCAGTAAGGTTTGAAACTTTTTGCTTCACTCCAATCCATTTCGAGAAGTCTCTTATTTCTATTGCAATCTTAACACTTTTGGGGTAGAAAACCCCAGAGCTCTTTTCCAGCTGTTGGGTCCCATCTCGATACTGGGCTCCAGCAACTGGCTCCAAATCCCCGTGTAGGAACACATCATAGTGGAATGTGTGCCTGACTCTGCATCCAGCTCTGTTCTTCCACCCCTCTCTCACCGCCCTGCTTTTTCTTCCCTCTGGCAAATGTTACTGGACTTTGCTCACCAGAATCGGGCTCCGGTGTTTTACTTCTTTCTTCTCCCCCTCCCCCTCCCCCTCCCCCCCTTAGAGTAGTAACATTGGTTTAGGTTAGGATTTCATAGAAATTAGGATTTGTAGAACATTTATTTGTGTGTGTGTTCCCAGCTCTGTATTCACTTTGCTGATTTCCTTTGCTGTTAATCTTTTTCTTTTCTTTTTTTGGGGGTGAGGATTTTGTGTGTCTGTATGTGCTTGTGAGCCTGGAAGTCATGGTGACTTCTGGTGACCCCTAGTGGGACTAGGATGTTTCAGAGAGGTGGCTTATATTACGTGCCTCTGTGTCCCAACCCTGGTATTCCTTGGAGGTCTCCCTTCCAAGTACTTGCCAGGGTCAGCCCTGCTTAACTTCCAACATCTGATGAGATGGGGTTTGCCAGAGCTATCCAGTTCAGGGCTGCTGTTGTTCTTTTTCTTAATAAATTCTGAACATTGAACCAATGCTTTGTTTGTTTCTAAGAATCAGCACACTCTAATGAAGCACTAGATCAAATCTTGGACTCAGGACCTGGGAGAATAGTCCCAGTAATGATTCCCCTGGGTGCACGCATGTCTGAGCTCTTGACATGTTAAAGGTGTCTTTTCTAGCTGTTGTCAAGGAATTTACATGTGTAGGCCATTTGGGTAACAGGTACATTCAGGACCAACAAAAGAAAGAAATACTTCACAAACTGTATAACTGAAGTAGGGAATTCACTGCCATCATGTAGCTGCAAGCTTTGATGGCTTTAAAAAAAGGGTTTGACAAAATTAGGTCTGGAGAGGTCACATGAATACATGATGCTGCCGTATACTGATTGTCTGCTGTGACTAGAACCAGGTCTCCAGAGTAGAGGTCTTATACATCATGTACTACTTGGACCTTTTCAAACTAGAGATGTTGGGAACTGAACTGGAGGCTTTATGCATGCAAATCCAATGCTGTACAATTGAGCCATGATTCAGACCCTAATCCATGGTGTTTAGCCCCGATGGATAAAAGAAACATCTCTGTTCTAAGTTAATGCACTTCTGAATGGAAACTTACTGGGGGAGGGAATAAGAATTGGTGAGGCACTGTTGTCTTCGTGCCTTACTTGTGCACTTCCCAGGGGCATAGAGTGAGAAAAAGGAATGCTAGACTAGATCTGCCTTGGATCTGCCCAACACAGCTTTTTGTATATATTGTTGGCTGAAATTAGGACCCTGCTGCAACTACAAGTAAAGTATTGTAAAGTTGTCAGGTTGACAACATCAGTGATTTTCAGGTAATGGTTCTTTGCTCTGTTGTGTGCTTACTATTGGGTTAGCAGGATAAATGTGCAGTAAGAACAAAAGAGAAGCCAATGTTGGATCAGGCCAATGGCCCATCTAGTCCAACACTCTGTCACACAGTAGCCAAAAATACCAGGTGCCATCAAGAAGTCCAGCAGTGGGGCCAGGACACTAGAAGCCCTCCCACTGTCGCCCCCCTCCCCAAGCACCAAGAATACAGAGCATCACTTGTCCCAGCCTGAGAGTTTCTATCTATACCTTGTGGCTAATAGCAACTTCTTTTCCCAGGTTTGCTTTTTAGGAAGAAGCAATGTTGGAAAGTCCTCCTTAATAAAAGCCTTGTTTGCATTGGCTCCTGACGTTGAAGTTAAAGTTTCAAAACATCCAGTAAGTAACATTTGGTGATGTATTACTTCGGAAGTCTATATTAACTGAACCAAACAGAAAACAACATGTTTTGGCTACATGTTGTAAATGGTAATTGTATTGTATTGTAATGTAATAGATGGAATTGTAATAGATGGAAAGCATCCAGCTTGATAGAGGGCACTGGAAATTATTCATAAACCCAGTTCATCCAATGTAAGCTCCAAGAGCCATTTCATAAATACATGGTCATACTTGGACTGCAGCATCAAGCACTAACTTGCTTATGTGAGCAAACCATCACAGGTCAGATACAGAGACAATTTGCATATCAAATGAGCCTTCTGGCTGCTGCTACCATTGGACATAATATATAGAATAATGCTTCAGTTCTTAGGGGCTACTACAGCCATGATTTTGGCTCTCTGCAGAAATAATTAATAGTTAAACCTGGATTCTGACACCTTAAATCATTGTAAACCAATAGCCACAGGCCAGGATGTGAAACCGTGACTTGAAGTGAGTTTGGGACTCTGATTTAAAGCCAATTATAATGTAACACTAACCCTAATTAGCACTGAAAAGAGAAGGAAGAGGGCAGTTTGACCAGAGGAGGAGCACATAAGGCCAAGAATGGGAAGGAACGTGTGAGTCCAAGGGGCACTGTTGATGTCATAAGCATGGTTAACAGATAAGGAAATTTTCATTTAGATTTTTTTCTTTATTAACAGAGATTCAAACTTGATCTACCCAGCCTCCTTTTCCCTACCTACCTCTCCCTAGCACAGTGTATGGTGGCATTTTTATGTGAGGAACATTAGATAAATGGTAGGTATGTGTCTTAAAGCATACAGAACACTTCTTATAAATAGCCATTTCAGTAAGGCCACAGTCTCGAGATCCTTTGTCTTTTACTTACTTATTGGAATAAGACAAATGCCTTTCCATCTTTCTCCAGGGTCATACAAAGAAAATTAATTTCTTCAAAGTGGGAAAATTATTTACAATGGTGGATATGCCAGGTTATGGCTACAGGGCACCCGAAGATTTTGCAGAGATGGTGGAGCCTTATTTAACCCAGCGCCAGAAGTAAGATAACTGTCAGAAAGTATCATTACTCTTGAACTTTAGCTTAAATCTTGTCTTTAGGATTGTGTGGGTAGGTTAAACAGCATTTTCCATCCCATTTTATAACATGGGAGTAAAATGTGACTTTCAGTAGTGAGAGATACTAGTTCACATGAGTTCACTAGTTTGCATCCAGAGACAGCATGTAAATGTTGTGTGCCAGTGTGGTGTAGCATTCAGCTCTGTGAGAACCCAGGTTCATATCCCCACTCTGCCGTAAAGCTTGTTGGGTTACCTTGGGCTACACACATTCTCAATCTAACCTACCTACCTCATATAATTGTGGTGATGATGAAATGGATGAGAGGAGACCAATGTAAGTCGCTTTGGGTCTCTATGGGGGAGAAAGGAAAGGATGTAAAAGAAGGAAATAAATAAATACTTGTAAATATTATTTTTCAAATACCCTTGGCTCATTCCTTGAAAGAGGAACTAGAGCCCCTAAAAATGATTAAGTCCTCGTGTGAGTTCACTCACTGAAGATAGTTTGATCATCTGTATCCTGCTGCCAAATGTTAAAGAGGATTTTACTATAAAAGAGGTAGAGACCTGAAGTACAGTAGTTCTCTGTATGGGCTCCTGTGCGAATTGAGAAGGGTAAATTTCTCTTGCTAGTTAACTCAGCTGTGATCCCTGGACTGAGGGATGTTCGCCTAGCCTCAACCTGGTGGAATGTGCTCTCACTTGAGATCAGGGCCCTGCGGGACCTATTACAATTCCACAGGTGCTGTAAAACAGAACTGTTCCACTAGGCTTTTGATTGAGGTGGCGGACATTCAGCCATTCTGACCTCCCCTGTTCATGGCCCCTTTCTGAGTGCCTGTTGACAGATAATATTATTGGCCACTGGAATACTTACATTCACCTGATATGAGGCATGGGGTTTGATGATATTGTTTATTGTGCCATCGATTGTTTTATTGCTTTTACTGTTTTATTATTTTACTACATGTTGTAAGCCACCCTGAGCCCACGTGGGGGGGAGGGCGGTGTATAAATTGAATAAATAAATAAAATAAATAAAAATAACAAATTTTGTGGGCTTTGCTTTATTGTTTCTAGTTTGAAACGGACTTTCTTATTAGTGGATGGCGTAATAGGAATTCAGCCAGCAGACCGCATTGCTATAGAAATGTTGGAAGAATTTGGGATTCCTTATGTTGTAAGTTATGTTCCTAGTTTACGTCACAGAATGTGAAAATGCAGTATATTGAATTGGTGAGACTCAAATTATATAGTAAAAATTAGGCAGTATTGGTACAGTCTATCCAACATTTTGTCTAATTGTTTTGAACTGGAGATTTAAACATTTTGTTTTGACGAATTCACCAATGGTATGAAAAGCAACTGTAATTGTTAGGCTTGTAGATTTTTAAAAAGTCTGAAGGAACAAACAAAAACATAGCCAAGTGATTTCTTGAAAATTAGAAATATGTGAAGTGTTCGTTGGAATCACGTTTTCAGGATAAGTGACATATGTTAACAACCACAAATGTGTCTACAATACCAGAAGTGTGCTGCTGTAAAATCTCAGGGTCTTTACAGGGGATTATTTTGATTACAGTTGGTATCTGGCGAGGGAGAGGAGTGAGCTCTCACCTAAACATCTTGTTTTAACCCTCATATCTGCAGAGATAAATTTGGAAATGTGATTGGAAGGTATAACTTTACTAGATGGCCCCTACTTCCAAACAAGTTGCCTGCCCCGCCGTAGGCAATCTTATGAAAACATCAGATAATGATGTAAAGATCAAACTGGAATAAGATGGGAAAGACTAATGGAAAATGGAGATCTCTACATAGTGAACTCATTTACTTCCAATATTCCATGTAGTGCGTATTACCTTTTGGAAGTACTATATAGTGGAGAGGGTCTGACTCTGTTAAGTTGGTCAACTTCCTTTGTATAGTGTTCCAGCTTGTGTATCATCATGGTGTTACTTCTTCTTGAGAGATAGTGAATGAAATATTACATTTCATCCCCTCCAAGTATCAGCATTAGCGTGGAACCTGGAGTGAGGAAAAGATGAAAGCAAGTAGAGGACAAGAGTGTTACCCACAACAGATGTGCTGGATTATAAATGTAATTTGAACTTTAAAACTGATATACTTTACAAAGCATTCAAAACCTTTTTTAAAAAAAATGCCTCAATTTTTCCCCTCAGTTTGTATTAACAAAAATTGACAGAGCACCAAAAGCTGTGATGGCAAAAAATGTGATACAAATCCAAGATTTCATAAAGAAGAATACACAAGGGTGCTTTCCTCAAGTCTTTCCAGTCAGGTAACCATACGTAAATAATTCTTGCTGAAGCAGAGGCAGCAGCTGCTTATAGAAGAACAGAAGGGAATAATTACATTCTCTTGATGCTCACAGAAAATCCTGTGTGTTTGTTTCCACAGTTCTGTGTACTGTTCTGGAATCCATGTGCTGAGATGCTTTATAGCTCATATAGCTGGAAGTCTTCACTTATCTTCATGACAGATCATCCCTACCCATCTCTGAAAGGACTGAAGGACTCTGCCTGCTTCTTTTTTCAAAAGCTGTGTAAAGTTTTGCAAAATAAATGCAGTTTAAGTTCTTTATTCAGCTCCATCTTCACCATTACGTTACAATGTACATATTTGCTAGACTAGGACAAATCAGTTGCTTGCCACCCGCCAGGCTTCCCCCCCCCCCCCAAGCAGCAACGGTGGCGAACCCTACGCCAAGGCTTCGCCGCTGCTGCCAGTGGTAAGTGTGCATACACAGGGGACTCTTTTACTTTGGGAGGGATTTAAATATCCCCCGTATAGTTTTAAAAACTTTTCAGATTTTTTCTGCACACCTGGAGACTACTCCAAGTGTGCAAGAAAATCTACCTGCCCCCCAGGTGCCCCCGATGTGCGGATTTAGAGGGGGCAACTTGGCTATTAGATATATAGATTTAAAAAATATATGATAAATAAATGCAAGAGCAATGTGTTAAAATTTATTTAAATGTTCATAGCAATACTATTTACATTCGGTGATTAGCTTTCCAATAATATTATCCTGATATACACCAAAGTTCCCCTTTCTATTTTGTATTATTCCCCATGGAATGAGGCTGTGTGATAGTTCTGCAACCACCATGATACTTTGCTCATACCAGTATATTCTCTCTTATGTGCACACAGTTTTGTTTTGAAATCTGGATACATGAATGCTTCATTCCATGAAGGGGAATTCCCATGTAAATTGCAAAATAAACGAAAAACAATAAGCTCTAAATGATGAGGGCAGGGGTCCCCATGGATGCCGTGGTGCTCACCAACACCTTTGTTGGCACCAATGCTCCCTCTAAGCTGTGGAGTCCTGTGAGCAAAAATCCTACTTTGTGAGCTGCTGGCATTAAAGTTGTGAGCAAGCAATTTGGCTCCTGCATAAATTGGTTTGCTCTGGAGCCATCCTTCCTGAGCGAAGGCAAAAATGTGTGAGCCGGAGGCTAAAAAAACTGTGAGCTAGCTCACACTAACTCAGTTTAGAGGGAACACTGGTTGGCACCCATCAATTGCTTTTAGAAAAGGTAGGCCAGGTGGGGCTTCTGACTGACCATGAACAATTTGATGGGCTTTGCTTATTTTTAAAAACAGCACAAGGATCTTCACTGTATGACTGAAGGATTGTTATGCCAATAAAGGTCTATGTATGTGTGTATGTGACTGAAGGATGATGCTTCCATTTTAGATCCCTTCCAGTCCAGTTTTCGCCCAGGTCACAGGACGGGGATGGCATTGGTTGCCCTTATGGACGACCTCCAGAGGCATCTGTATCGGGACAGGTTGGAAGTGCTGCTTTTGTTCGACCTGTTGGCAGCATTCGACATGGTCAACCATCAGTTACTGATCCACCGCCTCGCCAACATAGGACTTCAGGGGTCTGCCTTGCAGCAGCTTGCCTCCTTTCTTCAAGGTTGGGGACAGAGGGTGGCGCTAGGGGAACAGCGGTCCCAAAGGCACCCACTGAATTGTGGAGTGCCCCAAGGGTTGGTGCTTTCTCTGATGCTATTTAACATCTATATGCACCCCCTTGCCCAGATTGCCTGGAGGCATGGGCTGGGATGTCACCAGTATGCGGTTGACACCCAGCTCTGTCTGCTGTTGGGTGGCCAGTCTGACTCCAGACCGGAAGATCTGGACCGGGCGTTACAAGCTGTAGCTGGTTGGCTTAGACTGAGCTGATTGAATCCGATGAAGACGGAGGTCCTGTGCCTGAGCCAGGGTGGCCCGAGGGGAGGGGTCCCACTCCCAACTTTCGATGGGGCGCCACTGGTGCCAGCGTCACAGGTTAGGAGTTTGGAAGTGCTCTTGGACGCCTCCTTAGCTATAGAGGCAGCCACTGCCAGGTCAGCCTTCTACCATCTTTGTTTGATTAGGCAGCTGGTTCTGCGGTGTCACTCGTTGGGGTGTGGGGTGCAGGGGTGCATGCGATGCAAAGACGACAGGACACAAGTCTGCAGGAAGCTGATCTGAAACCTCTCGGTTTCCCAGCATTTATTTATAAGCTCAGTTTCCTCCCATTTCCCTCTCCCTCCTCTCTCTCCCTCCTTCTCTCTGCGTAGAGGAAAGTTTCAAGCATTCGAGCATCCTTTTGGAATGTGTGTGTGTGTGTGTAAGCTCTCTGTTATCTGCCAAGGTCACACTGACTGCGTCATTAAGCAGTACCTCATGCTCTTAGCACACAAATACTTTCGGGTTTCCAATCTCCAGGCAGGAGAATCCATTTGCACTGCCCTACATGGTTCCCTTCCTCGACCACAACAACTTGGCAACAGTGATCTATGTGATGGTCACCTCGAGATTGGTCTACAGTAATACTCTACATGGGGCTGCCCTTGTTGTAAATCCAGAAGCTACAGCTAGTGCAAAATGCTGCAGCCAGGCTCCTGATGGGTCTCCGTTTGCGGGAGCACATCCAGCCTGTGCTGAAGGCATTGCCGATAGTGTACCAAATCCACTTCAAGGTGCTGGTTCTTACCTTTAAAGCCCTTTATGGTCAGGGACCAACATACCTGAGGGACCGCCTTTCCCCATATGTCCTCCAGAGAGCACTGAGGTCAGGCTCCCCAAATCTACTGGCCCTCCTGGGTCCCAAAGATGCCAGACTGGCTATAGCCAGGGCCTTTTCGGTGGTGCCTCCACACTGGTGGAACAAGCTCCCAGAAGAGATCAGGGCCCTGCGGACCTTTTACAGTTCCGCAGGGCCTGCAAGACAGAGCTCTTCCACCAGGCCTTCAATTAAGGAGCTGCCGCCAACCACCACCACCAACAACAGTGGAAGGAATAGAGCCCTGAAGATGTAGTTACCTGGTTTTGTCATCTACAGTCTGTGCCCACTACGTATGTATGGAAAGACCAATGAGCTGACCAACAAGACAGACCATCAGATATATCAATATGACTGTCACCATCATCTTTAAGCAATATTAACTAGAGATTTTGCTAGCACTTTATAATATTATAATTTTGCATAGTTTTAGAAGGTTTTATGATTTTATAATTGTTATTTATGCATTTTATCTTTATGTAAGCCGCCCTGAGCCTGCTTTTGGCAGGGAGGGTGGGGTATAATTTGAATAAAGGTAAGCTGCATGAATACCATTAAAAAAAACAATATTCATTAAAAAAAACATGCTATTAAAGTTTCTGCCTGAAATGCTGACGAGTTCCTATTAACGCATAAGCTCACTCCCTGGCATTCTGTGGCTGGGTTCACCTCTTGTGGCAGCCTTTTTTGGGTTGTGTCCCATCGGCCTGTGTCCGAATTCCGAAGGTCCCTGCAGGTTGGGGATCCCATTGTATGGTTTTGTTTTCTCTTTTGAGTAGGTGGAAGCTTCAAGACAATCTTTTATTGGGTCAGTTTTCTTGAGGTTGCTAGAATGACAGATTGTGTTTTACAGGTCATGAAATATACCTGCTGCTGCTTAGTGCTGCCATCCTCCAGGTGGCATCTAGGGATCTCCTGCAATTAGAGCTGATCTCCAGTTCCTCTGGAGAAAAATGGCTGCTTTGGAGTGTGGACTCGCCATGGAGGTCCCCCCCCCCCATCACAAACTCCAACCCTCTCCAGCCTCCACCTCACAAATCTCCAGGTATTTCCCAACCTAGAGCTGGCAGCCCTGTGTTGGTGCTCCAAAGCCCCACTTGAGGGCTCTCAAAATAATAAGAAACAATGAAATCATTTAAAACCACCATGTAATTGCTGTTTCTTTATAAACAAGAAGGCTGAATAATGGGCGGTGCTAGCTTCCAAGCAGGATCGTTTCTCAACAACAGAAAGGCCTGGTAGTCCCCTGTAGGCTGCTGCTTGTTAGGCTTAGCCGCCCCACCCAATCCACAACATAAGCTGTATCAGTAGGGCCAGTGTTAAAGGGGGAGTTCCTGAGGATGCTCTGGCCGGCAGTCCCTATCTCCGAGGGAAAGTGAGTATCTATAGCGCTCGCTCACGTTTTGAATAGGCTGTGCCAATTCGAAAAAAGGGCAAAATGCTTCAGTGGATCTACTGAGCATGCTCAGTGATACGGTGCCGAGAAACGGCTGACCTAGTTTTAAGGGTCATCTTGGAAGGGAGCCTTTTCACCACCTTTGCAGCCCTCGTAGGCACTAGAAGGAGGAGCTGGAAAAGGGCAATGGCTAGACTTCGTTTGATTTGAGAGGGCATGCGCACCAGAAATTGAGCATGCTCGGTGGTACCGAGTAGAAAGCCTGTGCGCGGGGAGAGGCGGTCGGTCGTGCGGCTAGCAGGAAGGCTGGTGGGAAGAGCCGGGAGGTGACTGTCTTCCGCTGTTGCAGTCATGGCGGACGAAGAGGAAGACCCACCCGTAAGTGTGATGCGGGCAGGGCTGCCGTGGGCTACTGTGTGAATAGCCCTCCTCAGGACTAGGCAGACGTGTAGACGCTGTTAAAACCGATTGGCTTGGGAAGAGAAACTTGGCTTTATCCTCCGCTGGGGGGGGGGGTGTTGCAGGGGAAGATCAGTTCCTTTCTTTCTTTCTTTCTGGAGTCTCCTGTTCGATGGGCAGAAGTGAGGTGAGAAGTCAAGGAGCAGGTTAATATCGGACGAGACCCGTGGTGGGCTGGAAGGCCCATTTCCGATGTTACTGTTGCAAATTGGGAACCAGCTGCAGAGAATCGGAGGAGGAGGAACAGTTTGGACACTCCGCCTCACCCCTCCAAATCTCAATCATTCTCTGCGCCCTCCGGAATTTGGGCAGGCTGACTGGTCATTGTTTATTATTATTATTAATGTAGTACATTTTTGCCTTGTTCTTCCTCTAAGGAGCTCGGGGCAGTGGATGTTTTCGCCCTCTATTTGTATCTTCACACTAATCCAATGAGGTAGTTTAGGCTGAAGGAGAGTGATCGGCCAAGGTCACTCTGGCAGCTTCGTGACAAAGTAGGGGTTCAGACGTGGGTCTCCCAAATTCTGCTTGCTCAGATGCACTAAAGTATGCTGGCTTTGCTTGTCTCTGCCCTTCCTGTTCCCTGTTTATGCGATGCTCAGTCGTTCTCAACATTGTGTTCCTTCCGGAGCATTCTACTGAGTTTTTGTTTACTTGCAAATTAAATCTTTCTGCAAACTGGGGGATTTCTCAGAGCCGCCCTAAAGGGAGTTACATCCTTCTGAGCCCATTGCTGTAAGCCCACCTTAGTAGATAAAGATGCCACTCTTGTCTTTTGTACAGCAAACAACACCCCATGCAGCTTTTGTCATCGGCACAGGGGCCAGCTGGTTTACTGTTGGCTATAGCAATGACAGTCTGACTTAGTACTATGCCTTAGTAACATGTGCTTGATGGTTTACAGGGTAACAACATAAAAACAGGTCTCTGCTCCAAGGATACTAAAATCCAAAATGCGGTAAATGGGACTGTTCAGTCATGTAGCTAATTGGTGGTGGAGGTGGTAACTCTATACTTTTCTGCAGTACATTTCTCATTAACTGCAGCACAGTAATCTAGACTGCCTGCACATCTTGTTCATCCTTGTCTTGGATTTTGTTTCTATTTAGTTTGAAGAAGATACCGAGGAGGCTGGTGGAGGCTCAGATGGTGCACAGGGCAAAAGGAAACGGTTGTTCTCCAAAGAATGTAAGTTTCTGTTATGTGGTTTACACTGTTCTCCCCTTTCGAAGGCATCTCTCTTATCCCTCACCCCACCCCCAAACTTATTCTTGCATCTTCTGGCATCACTATCTCACCGCTCTGTACTAATACTCTGTACTAATGGATAAACCAGTGTAGAAAACTAATGCAGTACAGCTGTTGTCACGTGCATGCACACGAAAGCTTATACCTTGAATAAAACTTTGTTGGTCTTAAAAGTGCCACTGGACTAGAACAATTTTACTGAGGACATTTTGGCTAAACAATCATTGGAAGGCACTTTCTGGACCAGAAATTAGTATCAGTGAAATATCATTTGGCATGTGATTGCATCTTTGGAGGGCTCATTTATACTTTTATTCTGTGCCTAGTGGTTTCACTTTGGAACAAAAAAATTTCTGGTCCATCTTATTTATTTATTTATTTATTTATTTGATTTTTATCCCGCCCTCCCGCCAAAGCAGCTCAGGGCAGCTTACAACAATAAAACAATAAAACAATGCCTCTAAAACAGTATACAATACATTAAAATCACAATTTACCCACATTATAACATACACGTTATAAAATACACAAGACGGCGACTATAGATGCTGACATACTCAATCTAAGTTGTTGAATGCTTGGCGGAATAACTCCGTCTTCATTGCTCTCCAGAACTGGCGGAGATCCCAGAGAGCGCGGCTCTCCTGAGGGAGCTGATTCCATAATGTTGGTGCTGCCAAAGAGAACGCCCTAGTAGATGTTAGTTTGGCGTCCCTAGGGCCAGGGGGGACTAATCGATCCTGTGACTCAGATCTCAGTGCTCTCGGGGGAACATACGGGGAAAGGCGGTCCCGCAGGTAGGCAGGCCCCAGACCATAAAGGGCTCCATGTTGCATGATTGTATTGTATTATGATATAAGCCAATTGGTCCTCATTGTGTTTGACCTCTGAAGAAGGCCTATACAAGGCTGAAACGCATCAGGTCAAGTCCATTGGCCCTTGTGTGTAAGATTTTGGCATTTTTACATGAGGTGTGATTGGGCCCTTATACCCTTATATGTTTTTTAATTCTTTGCTAATAAATACATGTATCTTTTTATATTATAAAGTTTTTATTGTTGGCCCTCTACTCTGTTTGATTTACCTTTTTAGTTTCTGATTCCCAGGTTTCAGGGTTAAGCCCCCCCCCCCTTTGTTACCACCTGAATCAATGCAGTACACAGTTTGAATACTCACTGAATCATGCATGCATGTATGTTGTTCAGTATCTCGTCATTTGATTTGTAGCTTGTTTGCACATTCTTTGGAAAACGTATTTATGCTAGTATTGTGAAAACTGAGTGTGGAATATTGTATCGGTATTGGCTGCTTTTATGCTCGTTATATCAATTGATGCTTTGGTCACTGAGTGAATGGGTGTGTGTGAACTTAACCTGGGAGAGAGAGGATTTAAAATAGTCTGTCCTCATACACCTGTATTCTTCGGTGCCTGTCAGGTTACTCAGGGTTGGTTAGTGTAGTTAATCCTTAGGTTTTTGCTTTCTCCTTAGATCCAAACAAACTGTTTTCTTTAATATGTAAGACCAGCTTGATAGAGACATGCAGAACTGGGTACAGGAGAACTGTCTTTGTTAGTATTTTATATTAATTCAACTTACAGTCTTTTGAAGCCTTTTCTGCCAGTGTTCTGATGGGGTGGGAGGAATCGTCTCTCCCCTGGACTTTGATGTAGCAGCTCCCTTAGCAGACTTTGCCTTGAGACTGGCTGTTGTCAGGCTGCCAGGGCCTAGCTCTCTCTACAGCTGTTCAGCCGTCCCTGATCTACAGTCTTCTCAGCTCTCAGGCATTTTCCATCTCCTGAGGAAATTATCTGCTGCAGGTACTGAGACTTTGGCTCTGTCTCTTTAGCCTCAAGTCCTTCAGACCTTTTCCTCAGCTTTTTTCTGGCTGACCAAGCTTTGTACAACCAACTTATACATTGAAGGGGGGTTGAAAAGTCTAACTTTTGACTGGCTCCTGTCAAAGTTTGCTGAAGAGGCCAATGGGGTTTTTATGTTCTCTTCCTGTCTGATTGGTCCCTCTCTAACCAGGCTAAGGGACCAATACGATTATGTTATTTTCCCTCCTTCTATAATTCATTAGTTTTACAAACCCTGATTTTGCATGATTTAAGCTGCCCGGAGCCCGTTCGCGGGGAGGGCGGGGTATAAATGTAATAAAATAAATAAATAAATAAATAAATAAAGGTCTACATATGTATTAGAAATCCATTATAATACTTCTCTGTTTGCAGCTATATATATACACACACACACGGGTTTTTTTTATTTCTTCACAGTGCCATTTCCAGCACTTACTACATACTGCATGTTGAGATGCATGCTTCCCCTGGGAGATGCCCCTGGGTGCTCAATGTTGGGTTCTCAAGACCTGTTGTTGTTAGCTTCCCTGAAGCTTTATGTAATTAATTTGTCCCATGGAAGTTGCACCATGGATCTTCTTCTGCTCTTGGAGGAGAATTGTATTGGTGGAAGATGATAAGAATGGGGTAGCAAAGTACACCTTCCCGTTCCTTCCCCCACACTTAGGGAACTGCTATAAGTAGATTGTATTGGGATGAGGCTCAATTTACCATGTTGGGAATCCTTGGTTGGATTGCTAGTGTGGGGCAGGGAAGGCATCACTCCATGGAGCTTACACATCTATAATTGGCAGTGCCTCTCAGCATTACTTTTTCTGTATTTTTATCTGATTTCACTTGTAGCTTGCCCCAAAAGATTGGAATAACTAGCAAGTTAACTTCCCCATATAGAAGTGCTACCACACTGCCCTACCTGGACACCAGATAGCAAATGAAATTGGAAAAGTCTTTAAAAGCTTCTGAAAGGTGCTTAGACTTGGGCTGGGTGAGTCATCAGGGAAAATGAATCCCACAGCAGAACTGCAGTGTTTCCTAGGGCCAAGTATCCTGTCCCCTTCATTTAACCCAGTTCTTCAGACACTGTTCCCCAAAACGGCAGTTCTACAGTAGCATTTTCCACGGTGGAAAAAGAGACCATTTGTTCAGTTTCTTTGCCATCTCCTTGTCTTCCTTAGCATTCTTTTATTCATCTGAGCTTGAAAACAGACATGATTGTCGGCTGACATTATCAACTTCTTTAGAGCTTAAGAACTCTACAGAAATACACTATGTAGTTGGTGTTTTATATTCGTGTACTTGAAATTAGTTTGCTTAAAGAATTTGGGAGAATGTTATCTGAGTGGTCAGTTCATGAAGACAGGGTGCTTGCACTCCACATCACACCATGGGGTTTTTTTTGTTTCCACAGTGAGATGCATGATGTATGGCTTTGGAGATGACCAGAATCCTTACACTGAGTCTGTGGATATTCTTGAAGATCTGGTCATTGAATTCATCACAGAAATGGTAGGTCTTACTTGCACATGTCCACAGAAGTGGGGTAGCCAGAGTAATGAGACTGGGGTTGTTTCTTCCTGTGCTTTAGTTTCTTTTACCTGAAACTGAGAGGCTAGAACTCTAATGGAAATACCTGTACTCAAGTCAGTTGTTGATCTACTCATTTCATGCTAAAACACATTGCCTGGGTGAAAGGTAGGCAGAGAATTGCCTGTAAAGAGATTGTACCTTGTGCCCACCTGAATGGACAGTCTTCTCCATTTACATGGGTGGCTGTTTAAAAATACTCATAGGCCAGAATCTTTACTTTCCTGACATACTTTCCATGTATGTCAGAGAGATGTACCCCAAAGGATAAATCCTCCACATGTAAAAAGTTCTTCATGTGGGATGGTAGGCATGGGAGAGGACTGTATCTTGTGCAGCATATTTAAATTTCCTCTCGGCTGCATTATTCAAATGTCCCTTCTAGGAGAGTGCCCATCTACTCATAGTGGTTTGGAGGAAGGGGGAGCAATGTCTTGGTTACAGCTTTTATCACTCCTGATGTCACTGATCTTTTAACAGGATGCTACCGATTCAGTCTGGGGCCTCATTATGCAAAGTATGTCGTGGTCTTCTCCCAATTAAAAAAAAAAGAATTCTTGCTCGGTGACTTATGGAATTTTAAGTAGTTCTTTCAGATTATAGGATAGGGAAAATTGCTCCCTTAATGTTAAGAAACTTAATTCTGATTTCATATCCTGTCACAAGAGCCTGGCAGCATTACAGCATATTCTCATCATACTGTTTTTCTGTAGTACACTTGTGAGATTGGGCTCAAGAATAGTTACTTCAGTCATCTATAAGTTTCATAGCTGAGGATTTAATAGTATGTCCATGTCTAAACCCAGTATCCTTAATTAGTGCAACAGATGTGCCTAATTTTTCAAAGAAATGTAGTTTATTGACTTCCCCAGTAGTTGTATTAAAATATTAAACCTTTTATTCTTGGTTGGGGGGGTTAAAGTGCTGCTGCTGCTGCAAAAGATGCAGGCCACCAAGCATACTGTTACACTGACATGTTGATGTGTGCATCCCAAGGTGAAGCATTCATTTGTTTACCAGGAAGTAGTAATGAGTCCAATAGAACTTGCTCTCAAGTGTGTCATATTAACTGTAGGATCAGACTAACTTCAGTCCCTGATCTTTCATGTTAGAAGAGACTGGATCCTGCAGAATAACTTGTGGAGAGAGTTGGCAGAGTGGCTGTCTTCATTAAGCTGCTGTTTGGCCCTAAAATCTTTTGGGGGATCAGGGGACAATTATAAACAAAATGCACCACAGTGCAAGTGACCATACTATAGTGTGGAAGCTGGAACAGGCAAGATCACCACTCAACTTCGTCTGCAGGACAAGAGAGCATGGTTGTTCTTTTTTAAATTAAATTCATTTTGTTTCTAATAGACCCACAAAGCGATGTCAATTGGACGGCAAGGACGAGTACAGGTTGAAGATATTGTCTTTTTGATTCGTAAAGACCCACGGAAGTTTGCTCGTGTGAAAGACTTGTTGACCATGAATGAAGAACTGAAACGGGCAAGAAAAGCATTTGATGAAGCAAATTATGGCTCCTGATGCCTTTTGTGTGGCAGATCTGTGGTGCTTGGAGAAGGACGAATTTTTATGATGCTTTACACTGTACTTTAAGCCAGCTTGCTTCGTGTGAACCACAAGCCTACCAACAAAAACTGCTTTAGTTAACATTATTTGTTCATTCAGTTGTGCCAAGAATTCTTTTGAATAATTTTGTATGTGTATATAATATAAAATGCGTTGCCCATTGCAGTACTTTTTCTTTTAAACACAGTGTGCTCCCATAATGGCCTCATACAGTATTGCTCTTCCATACAACGGGGTTGTTTCAACTTTCATTGCAAACTATAGTTTATGAGTATGTGGTGAGCCCTTTCTTCACTGAGTTCATTAAACCTCTACTATGAAAACCTGCTATGTAACAGGTTTCATACCAACATTATTTTAATGGCTTGAAAGTACAGTTGTTTTTAGTATGGAGTTGTGCCTCTCCTTTCAACAGTTCTAGAACAAATGTAGAATAAGTCACTTTCATGCTTAGTAAGAGAATTCTACTCTCTAGAGGTACATCTTCCAAGGAAATGTATAACTTTCTGTATGAAAGATGAGAAGTGCTATACCTAGCTATACCTACCCCGTTCGCGGGGAGGGCGGGGTTAAAAATGTAAATAAATAAATAAAATAGCTACAGGTTTAACTGAGCATCATTTAAAGCAGGGTGGGGTTTTTTTGGGGGGGGGTGTAAATTCAAACTTCAATAAAAACCTGAAGAGTTCATAGTTGTGGATCTGTATCACTGTTCCTCAATGTGTTACCTGTGGATGCACTTGCCCTGTTTTTCAGGGAACAGAGTAGGATCACTGCAAAGACAGGACTTGTGACCGGCTGCCTTCATGCAAATAAAGGACTTTTATTTGAATCCTGCTCACTGGAGAAGGAATCCAGAATCAGCTAAGCAAGGCTGGCTTTGTGTAGCTGCAAGAAACAGGTGGTAACATGGGTACCACCCCCCGTGCAGCACCAGCGGTTTAAGTGCTACTGTATTTTCTATTCTGGCTTTCCCACGTTGAGAAAGACACTGCACAGGGAGTTATGCTGCACTTTACTCAACTCCACCCACTTTGGGTTTACTGTCTTGGCAGCCATTGTGGATTATAGAACACATTGCCAGTGTTGGCTGTAATCACCTAGATAATCCAAAATGGTTGCCAGTTTCATTTTCAAACCTGAGGTGGGTTGCGAGAAGAAATGGGCAGATAGAAAGGGAAAGGAGATATGGTGCAGTATCTTTGGGGGGAAGATCACCAATGCAGGAGGGGAGACAGACTCACCTTGGCAGTTTTGTGGGTCCTTTACTTGCAGTGTGTGTCTGACACACAGTTTAATAAAAACACTCAATGAAGATAGTCAAATCCAGTTTAATGCAGTATAGCACTATATGCCTATTGCTGCAAAAATGTCATCTATATCATCTTTACTCTCACTAACTTCCTTTTGTAGATGGGCAGGCTTTCCTCCTAATGCCTCAGCTTGTTCTTCAGCTGTTTCTTCAGAATGGCTTTTGTCAGCGTCTCTCACATCAGATGAATGTTCAAACTCCTGAGCAAAAGAAAAGGGAACACTACCATTTATAGTATTATCACCACAAACAGTCTTTTTCCAAACAGGATCAAAGCAAGATGGTGTCTTTGAAATATGTCTTAGATTCCTGGAAAGTTTGATCTGCCTCTGTAGCCTCCTTGCTCCAAGTCTTTGTTTTGGTTTCTGCCTAGAGTATGAGACTGTCAGGTATCTACAGATAGTAGCCTTTATACAACCCAGTTTCCTCTGTAAACTGTAAAAGAAAGAGATGAGCAGCTGTTAACAATAACAGCAACATGGAAGACTGTTTTGACATTACCTGTTTTTAAATGGCCTCCACAATGAATCCAAATTGATTAGTCTGCATAAACAAATATTTGTACAAGGCAGGGTTCTAACTAGTCCAGAACAGCCTCCTCCATTATTTTAAGTGTCAGACAGGATGGAGGCAACACTTTTAACGCCATGCCTTCAAACAGAAACATGTTCCTGCGTCACACCCTTATTATGAAAGAACATTTGTGAAAGTTCCACACAGTGATGCCACAGCACCTTCGTGTTATCACCAATCTTATTCTTCTCATACTGATTTGCATAGGCTCAGATAATGTTTACAAATGATGCCACCACTGTGAGAGGATTAGAATCTGGAGACCCAGGCTCAGATCCTGCCCTTGTAAGGGGCAGAAAGGCGAGATATTAGGGGTGTGCAAAAAAAATAAATCAGTCTGATTTGGATTCAGGCGAATCGGGCAGAATCAATTTCGGACGGCAGAAAGACTCCTGCATGTCAATTTCAGAAGTACCAGCCTATTCCAGAGTCTTTGGGCCAGTTCAATGTCAATTTCAGCCCCATTATATCCTATGGGCCATTGAAGTCAATGGCGAAAGCATAGGGTATATTCTGTGGGCTGGAGGGGAGGGAGTTTGAGGGAGAGGCTCCAAACTCGCAGGATAGCTGCTGGAGCCTCCAAACAGGTTGCCCCCATCCCCTCCACTGTTTTCTATGGTGAGGGAAAAAGTTACTTTTTCCCCACCATAGAGAACAATGGGGGGGACGGGGGCAACCTGTTTGGAGGCTCCAGCAGCTATCCTGCGAGTTTGGAGCCTCTCCCTCAAACTCCCTCCCCTCCAGCCCACAGAATATACCCTATGTTTTCGGCTTTGACTTCAATGGGGCCGAACTACCATGGCAATTCGGCTGCAAGCCAATTCAGATCAGAGAATCTGAATCAGCCCGAAGTGGGCCATTTTCAGGGGTGCATTCGGTTCAGACGAATCGAATGCACATCCGTACAAGATATACATTTTGTAAATAATAAATAATTCCTTATTCTACCAAGGAAGCTTGCTGATGACCTTGGGTCAGTTGTTCTCTCTCTAGCCTACTTTGCAGGTATATACAGGGATAAGCTAGAGGAGTGAACAGTACCATAAGCTGCTTTAGGTCCCTATTGGGGAGAAAAGCAAGATATTTATATCTAAATAAAGGCTCTCTGCTGTGCAATGCTAGCAGAAGAGAGGGAAAAGGATGGTTAGCAGGCCAAAATCCAGCAACCTTTGATGCTGAGGAGTAAGTGAAAAGGATATGAAGTTCAGAGGTTGGGAAAGACATGAAAGATGCACACACATACATGGAATGGGAGAAAAGATAAGTTTGTGTATTTCTGGTTCGAAGGAGGCCAGAAAAGTAAACAGGGAAGGAAAAGACCCTGTGGGATAGGAAGCCAGAAAGGGTAATGTAAATTTTACAAGCTGATAAGAATTTTCTAATAAGTAAATAACACAAGGGTACGTTTTAGCCCCTACTGCTTCTTCCCAATTTGGTCATGCTTCCTCAGTTACAGACTTCAATAGTCAAGTGCAATTACTTGCTGAACAGGCAGCATATCACTATAATAAACACACCTGTAACCCTGAGCTTCCACATGCTGCAGATGCCTGCATTTCAAAAGCTTCATTCTCAAGTAAATAGCCTGTGATCTAAGTTTCTTGCTTTTGCACCAGAGGATTGTTGTTCTGAGTGCATCAGACAGTTGTTCAAAGGAGTGCACTTCTTGCAGTTTAGTCAAGAAAGGCTTAAGATGCTGAAATGTAAGGGATGTAGACTTCTGTTTTAAATTATGATGCTTTGCTTGGAATTTGTTCTGAAATTAAAACAAAAAGCAAGGAAATTAATAACACCAGAAAGTGCAAAAGAGCATAGTTTATCCTCTACAGATGAGATGCTGAGTGCTAAAGATTACACAAAGTCTTGGCTAGAAGGAAGTAAGAGATAAACTAGCAATCTGATTTTACCACTAATGTGAAAAAACTGATCTGATGCAGCATGCCTTACCCTTATGTTTTTATGTCCCATTGGGGGCATGCATACCACAACAGCACTTCAGATACCAGCTAGAAAATTCTACTGCATCCAGGGGAATGAACTCCCATTAAGTAGGCTTAGCATCATTATTTTAGCTCCTCCCCTCTACAGCAAGGATGGAGGGACAAAGTTGTTCATATTAACAAAGCATTCCAAAGTACAAACAACTGCTCAATATACGTAATTCATCTAGCAACAATAAAACATTGCAAAAGTGATCCTGGCCTGCAAGCTTACAAGGTTAACTTAGATTTACTAAATGAGTACAGCTAACAATAGTCAACTAATCAACACTATGCCTTCTGGCCAGAAAGGAAAAAAGTGGTACAAGGGAGCTTCATATATTCAAGACATGCAATGTAATTAACACAGAATGATACAAACCATCTCTAGTAGTGCAGGATCAGGGTATCTACATAAGGTCCTGACATCGAATACTAAGTCATTTCCAAGATCTAGGGGGAAAAGAACAGTCGCTATAATAGTAACGTTCAATTGTTTAGGATCATAGCCAAATTAACAAAATTCTTCTTGAAATCAAAAGCTCTCACATTTGTCTTCATTCACTGTTACACAGCATCTGTCTTTGGGAAGTAAGTTTCCCTAGCAGTCTGGTTACATGGTATTCTGGGACAAGGTTTAAGGCAGCTAAAAAAATTACAAAAGCATCCACAAAAGCATCCACACCAAAAATTTCAAAAGCATCCACACCACTCCTGGCACCAAACAAGGTATGATCCAGTCCACTGCAGGCAGACTACTCCTACGCTCAGGATTCCTGTAGGCTCAGAGCCCCGTTTTCCCTCCAATCCCCTGCACACACGCCTCCTGTTTCCCCATCCAGCTTGTAGAGAGCTGGTCTCAGTTGGAGATATGAGAGGTGCAGACTTCTCATTCCCCCTCATGGCCTGTTGTGATGCTTATATGCATACATGTAGACAGAGAAGTGTGTGTAGAATATCTAGGGTTCTATTAAACCTACAGAAATCCTCAACATGCAGTTACTGCCCCCGTAGTGGATTGGATCATGCTGTTGAATTAAAGCTGGTCATGAGGTTCTAGCAATTTAATTTATACAAGGAACATGGAAAACCAAAGAAGAGAGAAGCAGGAAAGAGACTGCTCACAAAACTGTTGTCCCTGGTTATACAAGATTGGTAACCATCACCCATCCCTTCCAAATTAAGAGGCTGTTACCTTGGTTGGTTCTGTTAATCTGAACTGGCTGCCCAACGTCAAGGGATTTCAGCACTTTGTTTGTGACTCCTGAAGGAACTGTTGCATGCACCGACTTCCTGGCCTTCCTTACTGAAAACAGTTGATTTATCCATGACTTTTTGGCCTTTTCTTTAAAAACCTTGGGCATTTTCTTCTGAATCTCCAAGTAGGCAGTTCCAAGAAATTCATTTATTGCAGAAGGAAAGGCAAATTCTTTAATATAAGGCCTTGGCTGACTCTGTGAAACTTCCTGAAGCAATTCAAACAGGCTCTCATATAAAGAACTGAGGCTTTTTAGCACACCTCTGTAAAGAATCCTGATTTTAAAAAAAGAAGAAGAAGAAGAAGGGGGGGACGACAGAAAAACACTTATATCTGTTAAGCAGCAGCCCTTTCTTAAGTATGTTCTTTTCTCAAAGGACTCCATCGCCTTCCCAAACCGATTTCCACCTCCATTCAGTTGACCTAATCAATTCTCACTTCTTGTAATGCTTAACATGGAGGAATCCATGTTTGAATTATTGATGCCAGACTGACTGAAGGACCAGGGGAAAGTACAGGCAGTGGGCAGCTGCAGATACTTGGTCTGCCACTTTAGCAGTCCTTTTATAAGTAAATGCTTGTTTTCCAGTTGCAACCAGAGGAAACAGAGTTTTAGGGTAACTGACTTATTTTTAAAACAGCAATTTTATTTGTTTGGAACAAAGCTGATCAGATCGGGGTGAAGAAAAGTGTATGCACAGTAAAAAGCACTCTACTATTGCTAGACTTCCCTTTCCCCAAGACTAAAGCAAACTTGCCTAACAGATCATGTTAAGATGAAGATGGGTAGCTGTGTTAGTCTGTCTGTAGCAGTACAAAAGAGTCTAGTAGCACCTTAAAGACTAACAAAATTTGTGGTAGAGTATGAGTACGCATTCTAGCTGTATCTGAAGAAGTGAGCAGTGACTCATGGAAGCTCTTACCCTACCACAAATTTTGTTAGTCTTTAAGGTGCTCTTGGACGCTTACTCAGATCATGCTAAGCCCATCAACCAAGCCAGCACTGATGCAAGACAAGACAGCACACTGACAGCTGCTACAGTAATGGACAGCTTGCAAATAATTTTCTATAAGAGCCTAATCTTTCTCTCTTCCTTTCCTTGCACCCAGCTCAGTCAGATCTTGCAAAAGGGTACTTAGGGTGCTGCAGCAAGATACTAATTTTCCTTAATTTCTCTCCCTCTTTTCCCCCCTTTTTCATTTCTCTCTCTCGCCACCTAATTTTTCTGTGTCCCTCCCCCATTTATTTTCAAATCATTCATAGTCTCAGGTCCTTTTCATCCCTATCCTGTTTGGCAACAAAATGTACTTTAATACAGTAGCAAACCTTTGTTAATATTATAAACAGAAGGGGGAGGGGGAGTTTATATCGCCCTATGATCTAACAAAGTAGTAAAAGGATGCTCCCCTGCCCCCCCCCCTCCACCCTTTACATGCATGGTAATGGAACACAAATCAGTTTTAGTGGGACAGAAGCCAGAACTCCCAGTTCAGGCACTCGGTTGTTGTTATTCTGTTGATGGAAGATCTAATAGCCCTTTGTAAAGGCTACTTTGCTATTTGGCAAATGATGTAATTCTCTTAATATCATTAAAATTTAGATTTGTAACAAATACCATACCCAGAGTCTTTCTTCCCAATGGGGTCCCAAAGCTGCACTGATCTCCTGTCATCCATTTTATCCTCACAACAACCCTGTGTGGCAGGTCTGGCTTGAGAGTGTGTTACCCAGCAGCCTTCCATGGGGGGCTGGGGATCTGAGTGTTAGACACATGACAGGTTGCTTAAAACTCTCTTATTACATATTGCTTGTCATGAAGATAACCTTTGTTTTGGGTGTTCAATTCCCTTCATGTTTGGCACTGCAACTTCCATAATCATTCTGGGGGTGGCGGCCAGCTTTCACGCATTATTTTCCGAGTTATGCCTGCCACAAACAGAGACCCTTAGCTTCCACTACAAATAGCCCAGGGTGGTGGTGGTTTGTCTCACCTGGGCCAGGCCTTCCAATTTGGGCCCAGAAACTCCCACAATCCTGCCTGGTAGCCAACTTTGCATCTCCTAGCTTTATCGGAGAATACCCCTGCCAGCATGGTGTAGTGGTTAAAGTGTAGGACTGGGATCTGAGAAACCCAGGTTCAAATCCCCACTCATGCCATGGGAGCCTGCTGGGTGAGCTTGGGCCAGGCACACACTCTCCACACAGCCTACTGTGACGGACTGCACTTTTAAGACACTAAAGGACTGTGAAGGGTTAATTCTTCACAGAAACAGAGGGCCTTGAGCGACAGGCTGCTCCAAGTAATCTGATTGGTTAGCATCAGCTGAGCAAAGAAAGTCTGGAGAGAGCTGGATGGCTGAGAAGTCAGTCAGATTTCTGCCTTGACTGAATGTAGTCTGATTTCAGCTTTAGCTGAGAGCAGTTGAGCACAGACAGCAAACTGAGAGAAAGTTTGGACAATCCAATTCTTTTTTTAACTATAGATTCATGGTTACAGCAAGTCAAGTGAATTGTTTTGTTATGATACATGGTTTGGATCAGGGTCCTATGGAGGGGCCCAGGTGGAATCTTTTGTCTGGGGGCCCATGGTGGCTCTCAGCAGCCCTGGTGACCTCATACACCACTGCACAACTACCGTTAGCTGGCAACGAGTGAAACTGATGCTCTGCCCAGGAAACACAAGGTCGCATGTAGAAACAAAACAACAAAAATGTTTTATACACACCATAATCTGCTCAACAATCCCAAGACCACAGTGTTGAGTAATATGTGTTCTTCCAAACACAGATGCTTAAGACACAAGCTGAAAAGCATTTTGATTAAGGATGGACAAGTGACCAAAAAATCCAGAAAATTATTTAGGCTAATTTACAGAACCACACAGAGTTGCAATGTTAATAATGGAAAACTGAAACATGCAACAGGATGCTTTCTTGATAAATACAAGAATTTTCAATCAAACCTATCCTGCCTGACAAAACCACAGCATCTCATGCCATTCTCAACCTCTAAATAAGAACTGCAAGAAACTGCAAAACAGATTCCAAACTTTTACAGTGCAATCTTAAGCACAATTTACACCTAAGTTCACTGAAGTCAATCAGTTTAAAGGCATAAGTCTACTCAGGACTGCACTGCCAGATCCTAAACATTTTAGAAGGATACAGAAATGCTGTGCAACAGCGTTCAAGCAAATGTGACAAGAGCCTGCAGCCCCCCAAAATCTTCACCAGCACCACTTCAATCACAGGTTGGCTGGGAACCAAGCTCTCGTTGGGATTTTCAGATTTCTCTTTCCTATAAAATAAAGAGAAAAATAGAAGAAAGATACATGGATGTATGGATTGGCAGCCTTTGTTTTTTAATGCTGGCATGTACTTGGCTTAACACAATTTCTTAGTATCTGATTCACAAGCAGAACATTTTGCCAGGAATTGCTCCTCCAGTAATCAGTTTATTATCTATTAAACCCAAGTGTGCTTAACAGTTTCACTTTTGTTATCTGAGTTTTCCTCAAAAATGGCTAACATAGCAATGCTACACAGGGCTACTCCACTCTAATCAATAGGCTTAGGCCGGAGAAACTGCATAGGATTGCCCTATATATCTCATTTCACATAAAGGGTTGCTAACATGTTGGATTGGTCACAGAGAAGGAATGGAAGGGCCTCAGCTTCCATTAATGAATTTTTTTTTTAACTAAATGGATATCTTTACTCTCTACTTCAGAAAAGTGTAATTTGAAAGCTTCCACAATCTTACACTACCGTACATCTGTTCATTGAAAACTGTTGCCACCCTTCTAGCAGCTGCTAAAACAGTCATTGCTTCTAAATGGAAAGAAAAATTGGTCCCTGCTATCTTGTTGTGGTACAGTAAAATCTGAGAACACTATATTATGGAAAAAATATTTGACAGGACTGTACAATTTGAGCCACATAACAACCAACCTAGGTTTTTTGAGAAGCGGTTTCTGGTTTTAGATTATACGGTGAATCATAACAATAAGTCTTGTCCATAAGACTTGTTACAATTGTAACTGTATGGCTTACAATATAATAGTTATCCAGTATTCACTGGGCAACCTATTGGTTTAATCCTCTTATGAAACCTAGTGTACTTTCTTGAAGTGGGTGGTCTTAATAATGTTGTAAATTTTGACATATAGGTTTTACTGCTTTTGTATAAGGTTAATTGTTTGTAATTCAGATGTTTAGTGTAAATTTCAAAAATAAAAAATTATAAATTAAAAAAACCTTTATTGCCGAGTAAGCTACAGTACCACAGACATGCAACCCTAACAAAACTTTGCTGGAAACAAGCCTTGCTGATAATATGGGACTTACTTCTGAGTATATCTGCTTACGATTACTGGTGAAACAGGCCAGTTTAAGCTACTTACATGGAGCCCAACTCAGAAAGTTTTTCAATTGACTGCTCCAGATTCATTAGATGTAAACGCTTCAAACACTGTTGTACCTGAAATAGGGGAGGGAAATCACATATTTTCACATTAGTTTTGCTGGTTAGCTTCAGAAACAAGCTTTTAATCTTGTTAGTCTTTACTTTTGTACCTGAGCTCTGCTGGATCAGACCGGTGGTCCATCTAGTCCAGCATCCTGTCTCACACAGTGGCCAACCAGTTCCTCTGATGTTGCCTTCTGGATCTGGGATTCAGAGGCCTAGTGCCTCTGAATGTGGAGGTTCCCCTCAGTCACCATGGCTAGTAACCACTGATAGACCTATCCTCCATGAATCTATCTAATCCTCTTCTAAAGCTGTTTATTCCTGTGGCCATCACTACATCCTCTGGCAGCGAATTCCACCTGGTGACCCAGCATAACACTGTCTGAGTTTCTATTTTATGGCAAAGCAATTAGTAAAAATAAAAGAAACAGCATTCTTCCTGAGTTACTGGGAAAATGTCCATCATTATGAAGATGAGAGGGACTGAAGGGACACTAATATTTTTTGAAAATACAAACACAAGTTTACCAAGAAGGGTAGCCATGTTAGCAGGGCCGGCCCAGGGTTTTTTTGTGCCATAGGCGGGGCTACCTTCTGCCGCCCCCCCCCCCCTGCACGTGCCCACTGATTACAGGGTTGCCAACCTCCAGGGGGTGCATGGAGAGAAGGAGCACGTGCCACACTTTGGCTGCTTCCCTCTGGGGTGCGCAGGCCCCTTCTTCTCCCCCCCCCCGAGCTGCAGGAGGGCCCGGTGGTACTTGCCGATGGCTCCGGTGCCAGGAGGTCGCAGTCCGGGCAAGGCTGAGGGGCGTTCCTCCAATCCCTGGGGGGGGAGTGAGGGGGGCAAGGGAGGAGCCCAACTCTCAGGCGACATGGGGGTGGTGGCTGCTTCCCTGGTGCCTCTCACAGGAACAAGGCAAGGAACGCCAGAGGGGGGGGGAGATTACTGCGGTCACACACACACCCATCCGAATCCTCCCCTGTCCTTGTGGGCCTTGTGGAAGAG